GTGGACGAGCCTCTGCCGAGTGGCTGCTCCTGAGTCTCGGCACCGATGGGCTCAGACCTTGGTGTTTTTGTGAAAAATATGGGAATGGCAGGACACTGACGATAAAGGTGTGTCCCCAGGGAATCCTGAATTAGGATCTTAGCAGCATCTAGTGTCAACATCTATCAATATATCCATGTTATTCTTATTTTTTCTGGAATTTGCCATATTGCTAGTTCAAAACATGTTTTCTACCAGATATGGAAAAATTTGTTCTTTCCATTCAGACTTCCAACAAATGTTTACTCAGTGTGTGCTCTGCGTTCTTCGTCCTGAACCAATCTCTGCCGGCTTTGAATTTTTCCTCTGCCACTTCCTCATCTCTCTCTGTCTTCCGAGAACTGAAGAGATTTAGGGCCTCGCTCTGGATTAGGCTTTGGTTTAAAGGAGTACTTGTGGCTGGTTTGATCTTCTACCCAGACCACTTATACTTCCTCCATATCAGCAATAAGACTGTTTCATTTTCTTATCATTCACTTGTTCACTGAAGTAGCACTTTTAATGTCCTTCAAGAACCTGTCCTTTGCATTTAACAGCTTGGCTAACTGGCGCAAGAAGCCTAGCTTTCAATGTGTGTTGGCTTTCAACATGCCTGCTGACTAAACGTAATCATTTCTAGCTTTTGATTTCAAGTGAGAAATGTGAGACTCTTCCTTTCCTTTGAACACATAGAAGCCATTGCAGAGTTACTGATTGGCCTAATTTCAATATTGTTGTATCTCAGGGAATTGGGAAGACTGAGGAGAGAGAAAGAGACAGAGGGACGGCCAGTCGGTAGAGCAATCAGAACATGTACATTTATTAAGTTAATCATCTTATGTGGGCATGATTTATGGTGCCAAAAACACTTAATATCAAAGATCACAGATCACCATAACAGCCATTATAATAAAAAAATTGAAATATGAGAATTATCAAAATGTCCTACAGAGACATGAAGTGACCACATGCCATTGAAGAAATGCCAGTAGACTTGCTCAACAGAGAGTTGCCACAAACCTTCAATTTGTTACAAATGCAACATCTATGAAGTGCAAAAAAACAAGGTATCCCTGTATGGAACTCTCGGTTTTTTGGTTAACCTTTAGAGTCTCTTAGGAACTTTTGGATATCCTACATCTGTAGGCGGCTTACAGGGAAGGACTGGGAGAAATGTACTCCAGCATCCACAGAGATTAAGCAAATGGCATAAAACTCTCAGTGTAAATGATAAAATAGCCATTGACTTAATATTTATTACATAACCACATTGTGATTCATAGTGGAGTAATGTGTACAAATTATTTATTGACTATAAAGAGAAACCCCTTACAAAGCTACATCACACCAAAGGTTATTGATCAAGTAATCCTTTCCTAAGTAAAATTAAGACAGAAAGTGCACGTGCAACTCAATTGGGAATTTTTATTTTTTAACGATTGAAACCAAGGTGAACATTGACCATTTTATTAAGAATGCTTTTGGCCGCAATTAACAAAAAACTTGACTGTTTAAACAGTACAAACATTCTCTATCTTACTTAAGCAAACTGCAACTGGGTACGTACTTGCTGCTAAATGTTATTAGCACATTGGCTTTTTTGTTTTCATGGTCTTGCAATGGCTGCCATAGCTCCAGACATTTTACCTACCACCTTTTATCAGGATAGCAAAAGCTGCTTTCAAAAAGTGCCCTAGCAGACTGCTACTTGCATATCAGTGGCTAAATCTGACACATGGTGGCAAGAGAAAGTAGCAAATGGAGACAGAGTTATCATGTCTGGTTTGAACTGGGAGAGGACTGGGCACATTGACATTCTTGATAAAAATCACAGTGCTAGAAGCATGAAAGAAGAGGCTCTTCCGAAAGCAGACACTGTCTGCCCCCGGTATCATTTACAAGCTTCTTTGGTCCAGGTTGACCATTTGAACATCGATCAAGTTCTCAGTGTGTGAGGTGGTAGGTACATCAGACCTTGAAAAAGTGATTTACTAATGCTCCTCTTGCTGTATTAGCTTTTCCATACACACCAGCTTTAACTTAAAACTTAAATTTCACAATTGGTCTTGGGAAAAAAGATGAGAATCATGTCTTCTCTGAGGGGTAGGAAGGACATAAACCCTCCCAAGAATGGGAGGGTTTATGCATAGTTAGGGAGAAATCCAACCTTCCTACTCCCCAAAAAGACAACATAAGGAGAAATCAGTGAGTAAAGGAATTTTAAAGTTATGTTCATTCCCATTGCCCTTCAAGGCTTCATTCAGTTATTTTTCTTTACTCAGAGACAATTTAATTTTGACCACAAATCCTCTGGATAGGATTTACATGGTCGGATGAATCTGTAATCCTGGGAAGACATGGCTAAAACTAATACCCACTGAATAGTTCTGAGATTAAAGTTATATTTCCCTCTGATATTTTGAAGAGACATATTTGGTTTGGTTTCAGTAAAAGCTAGACTCGGAGAATGGTAAAAAGCTATATTACTGGGTTTTGTGACCTCTGTCCCTATAAACCTTTTAGAGTTAGAAATGGAGGCCATCCGTTTGGAAGATCATAAATCCATACAGCTTTCCTTTTCTTTATTTCTCCTAACAGATCAGTCCTTGTTTCCTGGCCCCACTTTTACCCTTTTCTCTGCTTTATCTTTTCTTCTGGGCCGATGACTCATACACTGCCATTGCCCTGTGCTTTTGTTTGTTGATTGACACACTGATGTAATTTACTTGAGACAACTAGAGCTGTTGAATGAGTGGATGAGATGGTTGTCCTTCGTGTGTTTTTCAGATGAATTTTCCCAGTAGTATCAGTTTCCTCAAAGACTAGTAGAAAACGGTCCCTATTACCTTCTCTCGTTTTGTCCCCTTTCAGGTCATCTCAAAAAATTGTCCTTCGTACCCTGTTCATTGTATAAATGCTTCAGCTTCCTGAAATAGTATACTTTACACTGATTTCCTGAATCTATTTTTAAACTGCCTTTAAGATCATTTTTATTAAACTTGTACCTATTGGGAGTGGTTCTTTCTTGCATTTTAATCTTGCCAACTAAGGCAGTTTGGAGACAGATTAATGAATTCCTACAATGAGTAGGAGTTTAGAACCAGTATGTCCTTTGGATTCTTCTAGTTCAACCCCCAGATTTCACAATGCATGTACTGATATCTAATACTGATGACGCTTTTCTAGCAAGTGCCCTTATTAAACTCCCATGTGGTCTTCTGAGATCATGCACTTATTTTTCTATTTGTTTGTTTGTTTGTGAGACAGACTCTCACTCTGATGCCTGGGCTAGAGTGCTGTGGTGTCAGCCTAGCTCACAGCAACCTCAAACTCCTGTGCTCAAGCAATACTTCTGCCTCAGCCTCCTGAGTGGCTGGGACTACAGGCAGGTGCCACCATGCCTGGCTATTTTTTTCCATATATATATTTAGTTGGTCAATTAGTTTCTTTGTATTTTTTTTTAGTAGAGACGGGGTCTCGCTCTTGCTCAGGCTGGTTTCGAACTCCTGACCTTGAGTGATCTACCTTCCTCGGCCTCCCAGAGTGCTAGGATTACAGACGTGAGCCACCATGCCTGGCCTGAGATCATGCTTTTAGCATGTTGTTTTGATTTACTTTGTTATTTGTTTATTAAAATTGGAGTTTCAGTTAGTTATGCTTTTAGCTACAGATAACAATACCTGATAAACAATGGCTTCAACCCATAAGGATATTTATGATTCCTTCTTAACAGGAATCCAGAAGGTAGTGGTCATATGGTTGGGTACAGCTCATTGTATCATCAAGAACCCAGGCTCTGTCTGTCTTTCCCTTTTTCCTCAGGCCTTGCATATTATCCTTTTGTCTTTGTGCCTACTGCCCGTGTCCAGGATGGCAGCTTGAAGAATCATGTCCATGTCAGGGAAGAAACATCTGCTCTATCAGATTACTTGGGCACTTTCTGGGCCCTTGAGAGACAATAGCTACCGGAGATTGGTTGATTCAGTCATCAAAAACTCTTTCCCAGAAGCCCCCCCCCCAAAAAAGCCTTCTCATTACATCTCATTGCCCAGAATATCACATGACCCATCCTAGCTGCAGGAGAGGCTGAGAAAGTAAGTATCTTGGGTTTTATTCTTTGCAGCGGGAGTGATATCAGAGTAGAGGGAGTTGAGAATGGCTTTTGATTGGCCAACCAATTATCCTAAAATATACATTCATTTATATATCTGTATTTTCATATCAAAGGGGGAAATATGGCTTAAGAGTCAGATTATCTGGGTTCAAATCCCTTTCATTTCATGCTTATTTTGACACCTCTGTGACTTTGTTTCCTTAACTGTAAAATGGGGACAATGATGTTACCAGTTGTACATGATTATTACACGAATGGCCTGAAATCAGTGCAGGCCCCCAATAAATGTCATCACCATCATCAACCAAAGCTCAGCACCCCCACTTGGATATTGACCAAACCAAGAACAAATTTAATATCTAGCAGCTTTTTCCTACTATTGAGCAAAACAACTTGAAAAGGTAGCACTTCACAATTACTAACTGAAAACAGTATTTTGTATACTTTGATGTATACAAAACCCCAGTCTGACCACAAAAATCCCTGAAAGATTTATATTCAAAACAGAATTTCCCTGTCCTTTTGTTTAGAAATAAAACTCTTTAGGCCTTCTATAAAGTGTTCATGTGCTGAGGCAGGATGGCGAAAGACTTATTTTGACTAGAATGTATCAACTCAGGAATTTGAGAGCCTTCTGGAATTTGCAATATATACACAGTAGTTCCACATATTGACTGAGATAGGAACTTTAAAAAGTGCCAGTTAGGGCTAGGAGAAAAAAAATACTTCTAGAAAACTATATGCAGACACAAGACAAACGGGGGAAATCAAGGAGCTGTTTGAAAAGTGGTAGGCACTCACTACATACTTGCTAATGAGAGAAATTTTGTTGAATGAGAAAAGCATCAGAAAATGATTTGAAATTCTGCAAGCTTCATACAGTTCATAGTAGCTACTATTGATAAGAGCCTAAGAAATGGGTATTCTTAGCAGAAAAGTAATGGCGGGAAACCCAGGGCAGCTTCTAGAAAGTGCCATGGTTTTACCGGGGACTGGAGAATAGAGTCATCACGAAGTGATCTTTCTAGTTGAGTCTTTAGAGTTATAGTTATAGGGAGCAGGAAAGAGCAAACAACCACATCCAAGCCAGTTTCCACTGAGGCCTAGATTATGTGGGGGAGACTCAAGGGACTATCGTATTGTCACTGAAAACCAGAGGTTACAGATCCTCCGACTTAGACCCCTCTTGAGTGTTCAGAACTCATGATGCCTCCATCGGTAGCCAGTAACTCCACATTGGCATTCCTTCAGCATCTAGAACAAATGAGAACTCAAATTATAATTAATTGCTTACCTAAATCGATCAGTAGTCAGTCTCCTGTTGGGTATTTGCCCATGAGAAGGGCACATGAGAAGCAATACAAGTAATTTGTCAGTTTGGAGAATGAAGTCAAGTCTTCAACAGCTGTTCACACTAGGCAACCCCCTCCATGTGTTACACGCTGTGTTTGGGAACGGTTTGCTCACTGCTGTTCTTCTGACTTTGCCTGTAGAAAACCCGCTACGAAATCTACGTCAGCATCCTGAAAGGAGGCGGCAAGGAGCTCCTGAGTCACGAGGAGAGTGAGGCCGCAGGACTGAAGAAGTCCCATTCGAGCCCTTCGCTGAACCCGGATTCATCTCCCATCACGGCCAAGGTCAAGCGCAACGTGTCAGAAAGGAAGGACCACAGACCTGAAACACCCAGCATTAAGCAAAAAGTCACTTAGAATCCATCTGCGGCCAGGAAGTGCTGGTCATGGAGCAACATAGGGTTTTCAAAAACCTTTTCCGGGAAACCCGGAAAAAAATTAAAAAAAAAAAGTCTGTGACAAAATGGTGCATTAGTAACTTTTTCTATTGTATATTTTTGTTAGTTTCTGTACAGATTGTCTTTGCTCCTGATTTCTTTGCTTTGATGATTTTTTGCAACTCGAGAACTAATGCACCTTTTTTGTGAGGGGGAGGGGATCGTGATTTCAGGGGGAATTATGTGTCCCTCCTCGGGTTTTCTCTCGTTTGCACTCTGCTCAGTTGTTTTATGTATTCTCGAATCAACTGTTCAACTTTTTGTTTTTTAAGGTTATATAAAACTTAATCCATTGTGAAACACTTAACTGGACAAACTGTAGTTTAGTAAATTCTAGCCAGAGTTAATAGAAGCCTTTACATGTGAAATCCTGCCCAGTCACAGAGGTGGAATTGAGCGCTCAAAGTCGCTCGGGTTAAGAATCACGATGCTGGGAATCGAGATGTTCGGATACGGTGCAGCTCCGCATGCATCTTGGCGCTCGTTGCTGAGCTCTGACCCCGCGGGCAGCAGGGAAGGGCGTGCAGACCGCAGGATTGCAGAACTTAGGGAAGCACGTGAGCTTGCTTACGTGTTCATTCCATTTCAGCCGAGCAAGTAGTAGGAGTCATTTTGCCATTGAACGTTGGGGAAAGAGTGATACCGGGTTACTTTTGTTTTCTACAGGCTAATGGCAATACTTGGCTCGTGGGAGCTACAACAGTAGGCACGTGTTTGGTCTGCAGGGAACTGTTACCTCACTCCCAAGGGTCTAGACTAGGAATCCAGAATCATCTCCGTTGTTGATACCCTTCCATCCAGGAATGGATCTTGTTTTACTCTACATATATATACATATGTGTGTGTGGGCATCGGGTTATGGCCTGGTTGGAATAGTGGGGTCTTCCTTTCTAACAGAATACTGAAAACAGAACCCCTTTTGTTCTTTCTAAGGGAGGAAAGTAGCTGTAGTTGTCTCCAATGGATATTCTTTAACTCTGAAAGTCATCGAATGAATTGTGGTTGGAAAACAGAGGCCTCTGCTAAGTGACTTGGTTTATTCTTGTCTCAGCCTCTTGGACAGCCACTTCACTTTGGTACTATTGAACTTTATCCTAAAAATACTGCATCTGTTTTAATTCATTTCCACCTACTCAAAATAGTTCTATTCACCTTCCAGTCATGAGCTTGTTCTAGTGACAGCCCCTTTGAAACTCAAGGTGATAAACAGAATAATACTTTGTAGAGGCAGAGAAAGGGTAGCCCACTGTGACTTAGAACTTTCTCATTTCCAAACCTTGAAACTCTGTCATCCCCACCAATGGCCAAACTTCAGAACTAATGGAATCACCTTGATTATTCCTTTTCCTCCCATAGAAATTTTCTCTAGTTCTACTCGGTTCATGAGTTGAAGGTACTATGGCCAAAGAATCAGCTGCTCTGAATGAATAGCATGGTTCCAGTGAATTAGAGAAAACCTGCTATAAAACCATGGTAGTTTCTAAGTGGTATGTTATTGTATATACCAGCATTTATTTACAGAATTATTTATTAACATTTACTTCCTTCACCTCTATAAATGTCTATGTCTGCTAGTGTCCGGAGAAGAGTTACCCCTCTCTAAGGTTGTTAGTTGCTTGCTTTGTGGTATTTTGCCACATCTTGAACAACTCAAATTCTCTATCTTGTTTAGGTAAAGGCAATGGCTAAATTTGTGTTTCAGAACTGCAGAACAGGCTCATTCCCGACATGGCCCATGTACCTCGTTCATTTCTGTAGCTTCTCACTGAATCCAAGATGTCCACAAGCAAGTTGTCTTTCTTCCTGATAATCTAAGTTATCAGCATATTTGTTTTCTGCCTAAATATTTATACTAAGCAGAGGGGAGAGAGGTACCTAGACCATGAGTATCAGTAACTGAAGAAAAATTAACTTCTCTGGCTTGAATGTGTTTGCCCACAGTGTCTGTCTGTGTATATAGAATGTCTATGTATATTTTACTTATAGTATTTAATATACATTGAGAAGGGTACCTTACTACAGTATTTCTGACATTTACAGTGGTCTTGAAATACTCAGCAGCAGCACCACTACAGCACTGGTCCTGTCACGTGACTCGCCCATGTTAACTCCAGGGACTTCTGGATGTGCTAAGCCAGCATTGGATAAGAAGGGCTCTTTTGAAGCTGCAGGATACCATGTTTGGGTAGTTTATCTTTCAGAACAACTTGAAAGGTTCTTTTGTGAGCCAGGATGTCAGATCGCCCTAGCATGACACCGCCCATATCCAGGGAACACACTGAGAGCACCTCGTTCTGAGGAGGCCTCTGGAAGGTTGTGTCAGTGCGTAGGGCGGGCCAAGAGTTTGCCCCATGGGAAGAAACAGTCTCTGGCTTAACTAGGTTCTGAGAGTCTGGCCCATAGCCAACCATGGGATCCTTTTTGTGTGTGATGTCTATCCTGTGGTAGCCAGTCAGAAGACATGGAAGATGTTTCCTTCGGAGCTAGCGTCAGCCTGCTGCCCAATTCACGGTACAGGGGGGTCCCCCGTCTCCATCCCTTCTCCAGGTACTGCACCCCCATTCCTCTCCCCACCTCGGTGCCTGGGGATTTCTCTCCATGCGATTAAATCATCATTGCTCTTCACATAAATACACTTAATGTTAACTTTTAGCATACAAAATCTTGGTAGTCATCAAAATACCTTCAAGAGAGTCTTCTAGACCATAGAAGTGGCCCGTGTATAAAATCTGTGAATGTCTTAAGGTTTGTTCCCACCCTGCATGCTGGCTTTTCCAGGAAGGTGTCAGAGATTCCTTGTTAGCAATCAAAACTTAATTCCTAGCATGCAGTCTTTTATTGCCAGACCCTAGGCATTTCTGAAGTGCACTTTTTTAGAAAATCATTTTGCTAACTCTTAGCAGTGTCTAATTAAACCAAGCAATATCTCAGTAAAACCAACATGGGGGAGAGTCCTTTGCTGGAAATGTAGTTCCTGGATTATGTGTCACCTTTTCTCTTGCTCCTAGGGAAAGAAAGCATTTTCATATGCAGTGGTCTTGTGCCAAACGCAAGACCCTCTGTGCTTCTCCCACTGTTACCCAATCCCGAAGCTGAGGCCCAGTTCCTAGGCACAAGTGACATGAAGGAATAAATTCTGGAAGAGGACAATCTGGCCAGGTTTGTGTTTCACCCTGTGGCCAAACCATAGAACTTCTGAGGTTGAGGAAGAACTTACATCAGCAGGCAAAGAGGCCTTTGCTGCCTAAGCACAAAGTGACATGGAGTTTTCTGCTGTCCTTTGCCTCTTGCCCCGTCTTGTCACGTACAAATCCAGGGAAGATGTTCTTAGGTAAGGCAGGGCCTGCTCTGTCGTGAGCTGAGCCTCTTCTATGTCTTTTTCACCTAAGAAAATTGACCTTAAAGAAGTTTCTCCATTGTCTTGTTCTCAAGACCTTCTTGGGTTTAGTTAATTGCCCTTGGAATTTTGAATTCCATTGGCTTTTTCCTTGTAGTCAGCAGTGAAGCTTATTTTAGCCTGAATTCACAGCAAGGTTCTTAGCTTTGTAGGTCCAAGTCTGTGTAGTTTAGCTCTTGTGCACTCGAGTTTTCAGCAGGTTGGTAGCCACCTGTCTTAATTTCAGTTGTGAATGATCCCTTCCCTCTTCCAGTTGTAAGACTAGCACTGTAAAACCAAGAACCAAAGTGGTATCTGAGGACTCATTAAAAGTAGAGTTGAGTTTATCAGTAATAGCGCAGCTTGGGGTTTAAATAGTACCTGCTTTTGTTTCAAAACATCTAAGTTACTCTGACAGAAGAAGATGGGCCAGCTTTGCAGGCAGATGAGCCTCTGGGCCTCCTCCCTTACTCTGTAGCTTTCTGCTCAACTTCGCTCCCAGTCTGCCCCAGATCAGTCTTTTGACACCTACATCATCAAGTCATCCAGGGGACTTGAGAGATCACCATAAAATAATCCCATGACAGATCGTTGGTAGTGACAGGGAAGTGCTTTGTCACCGATTCTCCTCTCGGATGCCTTTTCCATCTCTCACCCCCTGAAAGGAGGACTGAAGTCCAAAGTCATCTCCTCTTGTACCTACAGTGTCCAAAACCCAAGTGGGCAGCCTTCTGCGTAGGACAATAGTTGGCCCATTGCATGCAGAGAGAATGTCTTCCTAGAGAGAATGCCAGTAACTACTTGAATCTGCATGACAGTTTGTTGACTTGAATGCGACAGCAAGAAAATACTGCAAGTTAATTGTACATACAGTAGGTTTCCTTAAGTCTCTTTGGCTCATCCCTTGTATGTGTGTATCTGTAGTAGTGCAGGCTTTTGGAGAATATTCTTGCAGATAGTAATGTCAGATGTCAAAGAAAATGCTTTCTGTCACCTGCCAATGTTGCATTTGTGGGTATTTATAGCTGTCTGTGTGTGTATGGCACATGTACATCAACATTATTTTTGTCCTTAATAACCAGTGTGATGTGAAAAGCAAGTCAAAACCTCATAGGATTGATTATACAATGAAGTTGTTGAAAGTATATATAGTGATATTGTTTTATTAAACTTAAATACAAATGCTATTTTGATTAAATTTTTTTAATAAGACTGTATGCTAGAAAATTCTGTCTTTGAGCTTTGAATCACCAGGGCAAAAATGACTTTGAACTAACCTTGTGAGCCTGTCGCGGTGTACTGCGTGCAATACCAAGGGCATAGCTCCTTGTAACCTGGAAAATAGCAAAAGAAAAGGAAAAAAAATAAAAGAAAAGGCAGCCTGTGCAGTCTTAGAAACTTTAGTATTAAGAGCACTTAAACTGACAATTTGGGGCTTATTACAAAATGTGATGCTTTAAAGCACACGTTCTTTATTGTTGTAATTAGTCCAGAAAAATATATTGAGAAGATTTCAGTCAGTACCCAGCATTTCATTTGTGTATCTGTGTATATTTCACAGGAGATCGAATCACTCTCCTGGTGCCGCATCTTTAACCTCTTTACTTTGAAGAAATATCACAAGCACTAAAGTATATCAGGGCATCCCAGGATTGGGTACTGTATGCTAGGTGCGCAGTTGCACAAATCAGCATCTAGCGTCACAGGTAAAAGAATTTTAAGGACCAGGTTTAAACTTTAGTTAATATTTTTATACTTCGGTCTCTTTTTCCTGCCTCTCCCCAAAGAAGAGCCACTGGCCTTAGTTGTTTGAGCTTACTGCTTATATTATAGAGTGTAAATAGTTAACTAGAGACTAAAACTTTATTAACCAGCATGTTTGGTGTATTTAAAGCAATGACTGAGTGTGTTTGAGCGAGTGGTTGAGGGCAGTTTCTTGTGTTTAAACGCACTGCCTCGTGTCTTTGTATCTGATTCAGAGAATTGGAATCGTGGGCTGGGAGACTGACCTTCGGCTCCAGGCTGCGGTAGTGTTGGTAGTTATACTTGAGTTATGTTTTGTTTTTTTTTTTTTAATTAACTCTATAGTCTCAAACTATTTTTGCAAATATATCTTTTTTCCTAATTTGTTCTTGACGTGCAATGAGGACTGCTCTGTGACTGACGAGCAGGGTCTTAGTTTTGCAAGAGTATTTCCTTCCGAGAATTGTCATAATTTACAAAGACAGCCATTTGCTTCAGAAACCATATAGAAAAGGAATAGCTGAAATAAGTTTCATTTTGGGCCTTAATAATTTGAAATGGTTGGACTTCAATATAAAGCCATGGAAGTTATAAAGCCAAGTAACCAGTAGGCATGGATAATAATATCCACTCTATAGAGAGTAGGTATGCACATTCATTTTTAAATGCTGTTAGGATACTTTTTTGTTGTTGTTGTTAAGCTACAGGAGCAAGAGTAATTAGACCAAATTGAACTGGGGGGGACAGTAAATTGGTGGCCTTCCACGGGGGGTAGCCACGCATGTGGCCGGTTCTCTCCTGCTCCTGAGAGATTCAGAACCAGTTTGGCATCCCGTTAGGCGTGTGAGGGGAAAAGCTGAGGCATCTGGGACCTCTGCCATGTGTCCACGCAGTGAATGTGTTAAGTTATCCGAACATAAGACTCAGTCCAGAGTATTCTAACGGGGTGGAAACCACATCACAGAGGTGTCCAAGGGCCAGGGTAGAATTTGAGCTCTCGTGTCTGGCTTGAGCTGCATTTGTAACAAATGAGTGAGGGGTAGGGACATACCACGTCCTCTGGTGGACCACCGGCTGACGGCTTTCCTGTAATCCCCAAGCAGCTCTCGGGCGTCCCTCAGTCTCCCGGGTGATGTTCCAGAAAGCTGGCGCATCACGTCCGCGGCTGGCAGAGCTGCTCGCTTTGCAGATCGTTCCTCTGAGAAAGGAGAGCGCAGACGGGGGAGCAGCGAGGCACCGGCCCCAGGAGCGCTGATGTGGACTGTCCACACCCCCCTCACTGAACATGCCGAGTAGTTGAGCACTTTTCCATGAGGGAAGGAACCCGGGTAAAATGCATTTCCCTTTGCAGGGCAGAGAGCTGCGTTCTCATGAATAGTGTTATTAAAATAAGCACCTTAACTTCAATCCCTGAAAATGTTGGTGACTGGAGAGAATTTTGGAGTTTCATAAGTGAAACTTTCCCCAAGCAGTCGGCATCAATAAGTCTTCAGAGGCTCCTAAGAATCCTGCCCCAAGGCTCAATTAAGGCCACACTGCAGGTCTGAGGCTCGGTGCGCTGAGCCCTGCTGTCCCCGGGCTCTGCAGGAGGTGACAAGGCTGTACCCTCTCTGCACAAAGGAGCTGCTTTCTCCCCAGCCTCGCCCTCCACTTGGGCTTCTAGGAGCAGCAAGCGCATCCTGGTGTCACGTGCTCCCTCCCTGGCTTTAGGAAGCCAGGTGTGCCAGTGACAGACCCTGCCGAGGCAAGACATCCAGAGTGGCCGAGTCACCAAAACGTGACAAAGGTCATGAAAAAGATAGCTGATTGAAGTGAAGGCCACTTACTTTGCCTTTGCAAGAAACAAACTAGCACATTGAGCTCTACTGAGGGATGGATGATATCTTTGCCTTTCCACCCAGATTTTTCTGGAAATGGATACCGTTTCATTTCTGTGGCATGGGTCGAGGAGCACCGAGCTTTGTGCTTACCAATTCTGCTCAGTCCAGACGAGACCTGTTGGGTACAGGCCCTAAATGCCTCCCTATAGTCTCTCCTACCTCAGGTTTTAGGGACCCATTTCTAGAACACAAATTTACACTAGCAGAGAACCCATGGTGTCAGCCTTGCTTACCACGAGACAGGCAGAAGGGCAGTCATTTGTATCTCTTAATATCTAAAACAAGCTTTTAAGTTTTCCCACCTATTAACTGGGTTATATTCACTGTGGCTCAAACTAATTGGCATCGTAGAACATTTCTTTACCTTCAAGATTGTCTCCACCCACCAATCATTTCAGTCTCATTGCAGTCCTGGTGCCATATGTCCCCTGCAAATTGTGAAAGTAATTAGTGACAAAATAGCAGCCTGCTCCTTTCCAGTGGCCAAACTGTCAGCCTTGGCAGACTTGAGTGAGCTAGTGGTACCATATCACGTCCTGGAAACCTGTTCCTTCTTACTGCCCACCACATTCAAGAAATGCCATCTCCTACAAGACGGTGGCATTTACGGTGGCTGTCTTTTGAACGGAACAGTAATCTTGTGTGGATATTGTTAAAGTGTTTAAAGACTATTTTGAAAATTAAGTTTACATTTTACAATTGCTTTATTTTTTATTAAAATAGTTGTACATAAATATTACCCTATTTCACTGTTGTTGAAGTAAACCCAAGCCTTGTAGACCAGTGAGTCACCTGATATGTATAGAAGCTGTGATATATATAGTACATTTATTGTGTAAATGTTTATGAACATAACTGTTCCCGTGTTTTTATAAGTTGGGGGTATTTTGTTGTTTCACAACAAAATTTATTGCATTTAAATGGTTTTTATGTAATAGAAATCATGCAAAATAGTGAAGGATTTAAAATATGTATATGATATATGTAAAATGTACTTTAGAAAGAAATAAATACAACAGATTTCAATCATTTGGGGGAATGTTGTTATTTGCTTACTTAGGCAACTAGAATAATACCTTTAAAAAATAACACAGCACCCTGTTCTCATCCATGAAGAAATAACCACAAGTCCCACGACAATAGATTTGGCCACAGCAGTTGAGTGAGGTGGTGACAACGTCACATGGTTAACACTGACTCACCTCTGTGGACATCCTTGAAGATTTGTTTTCAGAAAGATGTTGGTAGATGCTATTCGATACTTCAGAGGCCTATTGTCTTCATTAGGGGGTTTTGAGCAGGGGAGGAACAAATGAATTTTTTTTTTTTTTTTTTGAGACAGAGTCTCGCTTTCTTGCCTAGGCTAGAGTGAGTGCCGTGGCATCAGCCTAGCTCACAGCAACCTCAAACTCCTGGGCTCAAGCGATCCTCCTGCCTCAGCCTCCCGAGTAGCTGGGACTACAGGCACAAGCCACCATGCCCGGCTGATTTTTATATTATATATATTAGTTGGCCAATTAATTTCTTTCTATTTTTATGGTAGAGACGGGGTCTCGCTCAGGCTGGTTTTGAACTCCTGACCTTGAGCAATCCGCCCGCCTCGGCCTCCCAGAGTGCTAGGATTACAGGCGTGAGCCACCGCGCCCGGCCAACAAATGAATTTTTGAAGCAATTTCAAGAACCATTTGCATTCCCATTTACTTCTCATCAAGACAAAGGGACCATGGAGTTAATTATTGTCCCAAAATACAGATGCTCATCTCCAGATCACTGCTTCATTGTGCCTAGTGTGTATCTTTTGCCTTCTCGTAACCAAACAATGTTAACAATAAGATCTGTTGACTTGGAAAATGAAAAATAAAATTCCACGCTAATCCCTTCACTTGTGAATATTGCAGCAGATGTCTTATGTTGGGGAGTTGGGCTTTTTCAGATGAGGTCACTGGTTACAGCCTCTTAAACACAAATGAAAGTACTGCCTGGCAGAGATCCAAACTGCTACGATGTGTAAATCTCAATCAAAGAAATACAAGCTCTCTGGAGTTCGGGGGAGCAAGATGCTTCTGCACCCCTTGGCTCTCACTACAGCTACCATTTGAACTGCGAGACTCAAACATCAGTCCTTTGTGCCCAGTTTCCTGTCCTCCAGATGTAGGAGTTTTGTGTCTCTTCTCATATTCTCTATGTCGCACAATTTATCATATTAGGCCAGAGAGACTTTAGACATCATGTGAACACTCATAAGAGGAAACTAAAACCCAGGGCAAATTAAGACAAAAGGAAGCAATAAGCAACTCCAAATATCTCATTTCTAGATTAATTCTACTCCACAGTACCATGAGATTCACCAAGGAAATTGCTCAATCACTGTCAATTTTAATGGATAAATTGTAAGCAATAAGAAATATTAGAGACTGGCATAGTTCTGTATGCTGTAGACCAGTGGGCTTGAGGTTAATTCTGGAGGTATTTTTAGAGTGAATTGGAAGGGAAGCAACACTTACTGGAAGCCAGCCTGGGTTCCCAAGAAGAAACCATTTCAGACTCCATTCATTCCCTATTTTTTAAGACTAGCCCGTAGATTAAAAAAAAAAAAAATTGCAGGAGACAAAATATCTGGGCCACAGCCAGGAATTTGACATGGTCTTTAATGAACTATGTCTGGGCAAAATGGAGAAATATGATCTGGAAATTAGTACAGTTGGTGGGTGTGAAACCACTTGAACAACAGTAATTAAAGGACACGGATTAACTTAGAAGAGCATTTCTATGCCCTTCTCCAAAGCTTGCCTTTTGGCCCCATCTGTTCAACATTTTAATTAATAACTTGACAAACTACAGAAGGCAAGTTTATGAAAAACGGGTATGTCGTAAAGCTGGGGCAGAAGGATTATACTCAATGACAGAATCAGAATTCAGAAAAACTCTCTTCAGGCAGAAAAATGGGGCAAATTAATATGAAATGCAAGAATGTAATAATACCTTTACACTTCAGCTTTAAAAAACCCAGTTATACAAGCTCCAGATAAGACGTTACGTTGCGCAGCATAGCAAGCATGTGAGAGAGAAAGCCTGCAACTTTAATCCACCACAAGCTCCATGGAAGTCAAGAGTGACGCAGCCACCAAAACACGTGCCATCTCAGGCCACGTTAATATAAGCACAGGACAGTTGCTGTGCTCCTGACACTATTGAGACTAAACCTGGATAAATTGCTTGAGACTTGGCATGTACACAAACCAGAGAGTGTGCAAAAGCGCCAGCCAGGAGGGCCAAAAACGTGAACAATGCGATGAGAAGAATCTGGGCTATGTATGAACTGGAGATGGTTAACCCATGGCAGAACTAAGGAAGACTGGATTTAAATAGTTAAACGAGTCTTACGTAGGAGGGAAACGAGAGCTGTCCAGTAGCAAGCTAAGGCGTTTAACTAGAATTGGTTATTGGGAACCTACAAGAAATAAGGCAGCAGCCCAAGGGAAAGAGTTTCCAACGCTCAAGACTGTCCCGACACACAAGTTGTCTGCATTGGAGGAGTTCCAGATGCCTGGACATCTACGGGGCAGAGACACTGAGGAACGAAGGAAGCAGCAGGGTGGACAGGCAGATTGTGTTAATGACGACGGAAGATGTTACTAAAGATACTTACTGAGCACTTGCTTGCCTGGCACCATGCTAAACAGTATGAATTCTCTATTTATGTCTGTTTGCATAAATCTGTGATGCAGAACCATTATTCCCCCCATTTTACAGATAAGGAAAGCCTGCACCAGGCTCCTTCACTTCAGATACTCTGCAGGATTCTAACAGCCCAACATTTGAACGACAGAAGAAGTCAGAGCTCTGACCACTAACTTTCTTGTCAGCCTCATATTCAAGAAATAGTGACTTCCCTTACAGGAACAGGAGTTTGTGTGTGTCACCCAGGAAGAACCTGGGATAAAAATAGCCCCTTCCATGCCACATTGGAACCCCGTGGGTATAAAAATCCAAATGCCCAGGCCCCACTCAAGAAATTCTGATTAAATCGGTCTGGAATGTGGCCCAAGGCATTGGGAGTTTTTTAAAAAAAAATAATAATAATTTTTTAATTTTTGTTGTTGTTCAATTTCTTAGTTCATGAAGACAGATTCCTAGGCACTGGGAGTTTTTAAAACTCCCCAGATGATTCTAATGTACAGTCAGACTTGAAAACCACCTCCCTGGAGCTTGGCAACCCAGTGCTTTCCTGTCGCATCTCCTGGGAGCTTGTGGGAAAAGCAGAATCTCAGACCCCTTCCCAGAGCTAGTGAGTCAGATGGATTCTGCATTTTAACCAGGTTGTTTCTATGCATATTCCAGTTTGAGAAGCTTTGCTTTAGAGAAGTTCCCAAAGTGCAGTCCCTGAAGCAACAGCATCTCCTGAGAGCTTGTTAGGCATGCAGATTCTCCAGCCTACCCCAGATCTACTGAACCACAAACTCGAGACGGGGCAGAGCCCTCTGCACTTGTAATCAAGTCCTCTAGGTAATGCTGATGCCCAATGAGTTTGAGATCTGCTGCACAGAGTAACTCACCTGGCTTGAAAAGCCCTTCATGCTCATAAGGGACAAGTGGAGTTTCCTGCCATTGTTGTGCTGCATGTTGTCACATACCTCTCTTAGATGTCCTTGTGAAGAAGGGAGACAGGCCATCACCACTGTGTAATGAGATGTCAACTACAGAGTGCTGCCAAGATGGCCTGAGGGCTTCCGTATGTGTAGAAGTGAAGGAGAAGCCCCAGCCCTCTCTGCCCTTCTAGAAGACCTCCCTCCTCCCAGCCCACCCCGAGACACCTGGTGTGGGCTGGCCCTCTAGACATGGAATATCTCAGTCCACCTTCCTACCCACGATTTCAGGAGAACCTGTCCCTCCTTTATAGGCAAACTCCCCTGACTATTTAGGGTTCTTTCTTTCCTAAGCACACCGTATACAGAATTCTGACCACGCTGCTACAATCTGCAAGAGGCATTCATGCCCTGGAAGAGTTTATCCGGGGAACTCTTGCCTGGCAGTCTCCCAAGAGTATGGTTGTGATAAAACACAGGATGCCAAACTACATTTGAATTTCAGATAAACAAAAAATACATTTTAGTATAAGCACATCCCATGCAATATTTGGAACATACTTATGCAAAAAAAAAGTCATCGTTTATCTGAAATTCAAATGTAACTGAACATCCTGTATTTTATCTAACAGCCCTATCTAGGAGGTCGCCTAGGGTAGCATTTCCTCATGAATTTGTCCTTTCTTACCCAGAAAGGGGGTACTTGGCAATATCCTTGGGTTAATTACACTTCTGAAAGTGTTGGGGCTCAGAAAATGACACCCCAAAGTATGGCACTTTGACATGATGGGCACTTTGAACTGAAGATATCGAAAGGCCTCAGAAGCAGCCTCAGAACCAAGATCTCTGACTTCTCGCCCTTCTGTCTCCCCCAAAACTGATTCATAGAAACCAGAATTCTTCCCCAAGGCAGATCATAGAAACTAGAACCCCTCTCCCCAAAAGCATGCCAAAAACCGTACAAATATTACACTGACCTTCCCTTGCCTTTCTATGTAAGAGCTGGCCATAGAGAAATTCTCTGACCTACCTTGTCTGCCAGTAGCTTTAAGGCCCTCATTCCAGAAAGGGTCCTGCTCTACAACAGGAAGGAAGAAATGCTACCCAGAGAGGCCAAAAAGAATCTGAACAGACAAACCTTGCTGGGCTTCCCCTCCACCCCCATCTGTAACTGCTAGATCATGCCCCTTTTGTCCAATCACATCTCACAGTTATTTTCCATCATACATCAGGTTTCAGTCTGAAAGGTTGGTTCTTGGTGCGCTCATGGTTGAAGAATGACCAGACACACCAAAGTAAGGCAAGCACAACAATGGCGTTTATCGAGAAGAGAAAGACCTGATTATAGAGCAAGAGCAAGATATAGGCTTACAGAAAGTGATTCACTCTATCTGGCCACAGAGGATGACCAGACCCATTGTTGCAGCAAAGGGAGAACAAAGG